TAGAGGTGTGGTACACATACACATTTACTTATCTTACACTCAATTATCCAATAGAGGTGTGGTACACATACACATTTACTTATCTCACACTCAATTATCCAATAGAGGTGTGGTACACATACACATTTACTTATCTTACACTCAATTATCCAATAGAGGTGTGGTACACATACACATTTACTTATCTCACACTCAATTATCCAATAGAGGTGTGGTACACATACACATTTACTTATCTTACACTCAATTATCCAATAGAGGTGTGGTACACATACACATTTACTTATCTCACACTCAATTATCCAATAGAGGTGTGGTACATATACACTTTTACTTATCTCACACTCAAATTATCCAATAGAGGTGTGGTACACATACACATTTACTTATCTCACACTCAATTATCCAAAAGAGGTGTGGTGTGGTGTGGAGAATCCACTTTTCATGCAAGGAAAACGACGATATCTTCTATGATTATTGATCATTAATTTACAGCGTACATCCCAGAGAACAGATTTTTATTTCAACTGAACTTGCTTAATTATTGGCATTTATAGTCTCATGGAATCCTTTCTGTCCTAATATATTGTAAAGCAAAGGATTTGAGTCTTTGCCACAAATTCAAATTTTTTAATCCTATATCTTTGCAACCTCGTGATTTACAATTTTGATATATTAAATTAAAATATAGACGGTCTACAACATTGTGTTGCAAAGATATAGGGATCAGAAATTCAGAGTTTGTTGCAAAGACTCGAAATTCCTTCAAAAATATTGTTAATCAATCAATGATAATTTCCTTAAGCTAAATGTACACTTAAAGGGAGTGTTCGCGAAAAATGAAAGGGGGAAGAGGCTTACGGCGAAAAATAAGCGTTTTTAATTGCTACTAATCTTACTTCTATCTATTGCGCATATAAGGTGAAAATTGTTAAAAACGACTTATACCAAAGAACGTAGCGTCCATACAAATTCAGAAAGATGCAACATTCAACTCGGATCGTAAACAAATCAATTTAATTCCAAGCAAATCATTCAGGTATTACAAATAATAGTGATCGATTATTTTTCAACGCCTTCGTAAATATATATTTGATATTGCAAATTATTTTTTATTTTTTATGATCTGAGTTTTATTTTTGAAAACAGTTATTCATATTTCGAGGATTTTTGATAATGAAGACGACATTTTTATATTTTACAGGAATGTTCGAAAATCCAACGCCAGCGAAATATTATTTTTAAATAAACAAAGTCAAAAATATTATGAGATATTAAATATAATATACGAATGTGTCGAAAAAAATCGATGACTATTGTTTGTAATATCTGAATGACTTGTTTGGAATTAAGCTGATTATTTTACGATCCGAGTTCGATGTTGCAACTTTCTTAAACCTATACCCCCTTTCATTTTTCGCGAACACTCCCTTTAAAGGAAGACACTGGCTAGACATGTCGGGCGCGGCACGGCAGCCCGATGGGTTGGAAAATTCATGAGAATTTAAATGATTGCATTTTCACTCTTGCTTATCAATTTTACCGCATAAAGTAGATCTAAAATCAATCAAGTGCAGTGAAGAGGAGCGTAAATACGATCCCGCTTAACATTGCTTGGACCGCTATAACTAGACAAAAGGCGACATTCAAATTTAAGCGACATTACTGGTTAGACACTGTAACCTCGTAGCTCCTCTAGTTTTGATTTAATGCTCATTTATGAAAAAAGCAAATTTATTTTTTTATATATTAAAAATTTAATTATTTTAAATAGCTTTAAAAAAAGGGTTTACCTGCAGCTGTTTTAAAGCTTTTGCTAGCAAACATGTAGATTGGTAGATTCACGCTGGCGTTTATAACCTAAACAATATAAACTGTTCTAAACTACATGTGTATAACCTAAACAATATAAACTGTTCTAAACTACATGTGTATAACCTAAACTACATGAAACTAAAAGGGAAGAATACATCTATCTATAACTAGCATCTAAAGCTTCGTTAATTCAAGCTGGCTTATTTGTTGACGTGTGATGAAGACAGTTCAAGATAAAATACCTGCAGAAATTGTACCACGCTGGATATGTACAAGAACCACAGGGGGGTCAAGTCCTAATTAAATAATAATAATAATAATAATAATAATAATAATAATATTGCAAATGTTCAAACCAACACCAGGGTTTAAATTTACAAGAGTTAGAAAGTTAGAGTTTGTAGCGAGGAATCAGTTACTTTTTAGGAGAGTATTATTTTACCTTTTTGTCTGACTTTCCTACACATTGTGGCAACAAGGCCGGGGAGGTGATCACGTTCTTTTTCATGTCTAAATATATGATTCATTTATATTTAATTTATAATATCTACAGTAGTCGGCTTTTATAACGATACAATAAAGACGAATTTTCTATTTAAGTTCGGAAGTTTTTAAATTACAAGTAAACAAAAGTATGCTGTTAATTGACAGCTTTTCTTTGATTTCATGTTTATGTGTATCCATGCTGTTGGAAAGCTTGGTAGAAATTGAAACAGANGATAATAATAAGAACAATAATAATGATGATAAAAATTCGAATTTGTTTTAGCCTATGACACAAAAAAATCAGCTCATTTGGTTCAGACATTTTGCCGGCCAGAGGGAACATATATATATGAATTATAATAATAATAACCTTTTGTTTCTCTCTGCAACCAAGGATACTCTGGATATTGACAGCTTCATAAACACTTGTCAGCACCCTAAATAGTGGATATATTATATACATGTCAGCACCCTGGATAGTTGATATATTATATACATGTCAGGACCTTGGATATTGGATATATTATATACATGTCAGCACCCTAAATACTAGATATATACATGTCAGCACCCTGGATAGTGGATATATTATATACATGGCAGCACCCTGGATAGCGAATATATCTACACCCTGGATACATCATAAACTCGTCAGCCCTCTTTGTCAGCAGTTGATATTTTCATAGATTTTAAAGATCTAAATTATTATCTTTTATTGTGTTTTTTTTCAAAAAGTCCTATTAGAGGTGTCATGCTGTAATAATACGACGATATATTGTTCACATTGTTGAACAAATAAAGGTTTAAAAGGTACTGCTCTGAATCGGGCATGAATTAGAGAAATTATTGAAATATGCAGAGTCCATAAACTTGAAATTATCTCATTGATCTAACAATACTAATCAGTGGAGAAGTATCAGCATTATGTTTCATGGAATTCAATCTTCAGGACAAAATTATGGATTCTGTTTATAAGTTTGAAAAAAGAAAATAGATATTTAGATAAGACACATAGCAGGATACATGATAGGAAAGAAGATGTGTTAATCACACAACAATAGATTACTTTATAGAAACCATGTTTTCCAGTCAACACTTGATAGATTATACACATACATATACTGACTCAAGAATACAATATAAAGCTAAATATACCATTATACTGGATAATATTGGAATTAAGCTAAGCATAAAGTAACAAAGGAGACTTTTTAAGAATATCTAAACAAATACAGGCGTTTAAAGAAAAATTGTACAAGCACATCAACAGGAGATAAAATACGTACATTTTAACATGTACATATTGATTGAGAAGATTCAAGAAAAATATGAAAGTACAATCTTCGCTCATATAAATACAGGGTGTACCACGAAACATGACAGTACCAAGACGGCTTGATGTTTGGTTTGAGTTATATCAAAAATCAAAGACGACATTCAATTCATCTGGTTACTGTCATGTTTCGTGAGACACTCTGTATGTTAGTTACAGCTGGCCAAACGGCTGGACCAAATGAGCTGAATTTATTGGATACAAACGGACAGACAAACAGATAGAGGAAAGATGGTAATACGAGATTTCATGATTTTGTATTAAATACATATAACAAGAAAACATGACCTACTCCTCTATACTTATGTCTCATCTAACGTCATTTATTTCCATTTTTCTTTGTAATTTTTTTAAGTAAAAAGCTAAAAAATGACAATTTTTCTTTTTAGTTAACGTAAAATAAATATTTTTTTTTTTTTTATAAAACTATATCATTATTACTCACTTCATTGTGAATTTCATAATAAACGTGATATAAAGTTAAATTAGCTGTACTATAAAGTTTTCATTGGTTTCCGGATTTTCTCAAAAAAATTTAGGATATTTCCAAAATATTTTTTCAATTGAAATGAAAATAAAATTGAAATCAACTTTTTGTTTTGACTTCTGCTTTGTTTCAAAGCTTATTTGATTTAGAAACAGCCATTGAAATAAGACAAGTACACAAACGTTTCATAAAATTACCAATAACACTGCGAACCAAAATAACAGTGCTATTGATTTTATAAACGCTGCAATAAGTAAATTTTATTAGTCCAGTGAAAAATATGGATTTGCATATATAGACAACTTTTTTTCCCAAAAAACTATTGTTTACTGTTTATCAATCCCATAAATATCCCTATGAAATATATTTACAGACACATTTGAACTGAAGCCAGAACTTTTAAGTAATGAATTACGGGGGCAAGCATTAATCTCCATTTTATGCAAATCTGCGGATTAATTTAATTCCTTTTCGATATCCTGTGATGGTCATTCCATGCAGTAATGACTTTAATTGAGGAATTAAGAATTTCCCATTTTAAATGTCAAGATTAATCATTCGAGCAATACTCACACAAAAGTTTCAAACTCTGGATCTTTTTGTTAGTTAAACCTGCTTTTAAAATAAAAAATTTGAACAAATGAGAATTTTAGTGAAGATTTGTTTGAAGCCGTATTCATTCTATTTGCACAGTGTCAAATATGCCTGAAATGTAGATACTAAAGCAGGAAATGTCGGTTTTGCAGAAAAAAATCTAGATAAACAGTTTTATCCACAAATATATAGTTATCTAATTCATATTTGATCAGGAAACTGTTTTGAATCGGATGCGGCATTCTATAAATGGAGGGCCACTTCAAATTAAGTTTACAGTCCCTTTAATCAAATAATACATTAAAGGATTATCGTTTACAGTCCCTTTAATTAAACCAATGCATCAAAGGATTATTGTTTACAGTCCCTTTAATCAAACCAATGCATTAAAGGATTATCTGTAAACACAACTTTTGTATTTAACACACTAAACTATTCCTACCGAAGGCAACGGATTAAAGTGGAGTACAAAAAAATATCGACTTCTGCAGGGTGAAATAAAAAAGCAAGTTAGTTTATACTTCAAGTATTTTATTAATATTTTTATACTTTTTTATTCCTTGGGAACAACTCACAAAAATTAGAGCAACTTTTTTCGTCAAAATTTAAGCATTTATGCTTTGCTTGTTTGATTTATTCTTGGGACTTAAAAAATCTAAAAAGAAATTAGAATTTAATTTTATTGACGCTTCATAACTATTACCAAATGCAAAATTGTATCCCTGTTTCATTTATTTTTAAGTATAATTAGTAGTAATTCAACTTAAATTATTTCATGTAAAATATTTATTAATTCATTCTTACAAATACATTCTTAAATTGTATTTTCTACAGTTGTGAGTTGATTATTAGTTTTTTTATGATATAATTGGATTGAGATTTGATATGGGAAAAACAGCTAGAAAAGACATTTTTTTAAATTGGAAAATTTACTGGTGACTTTTTTAATCTTGCCATTTTGGTTTTATAGAAAATATGATTCAGTTAAAGTTGTTCAGATTGCGGATATTGAGTGAAAAAATGTGAAAAAAAATCAAATCCTGCAGGCCTGCCAATGCAATACACAATATTTTTTTAGTTATTTGAGCAATCCTTTCTCGGCTAAGCTGGAGAATACAATATTACATTTTTCTTTAGAAAATCTAGGGAGAAATCCAATCTTCTTGTCAACTGCTTCTTTGGTCACACTAACACAGTATTTTTTTCAACCTAATGACTAATGTTAAATAATTGAATTCAAATTTAAAAAGTCGCATTTTCCTGTAGTTTATGGAGGTGAAAATGGAGGTCAATGACCTCCGATATAAAATTTTTTTGTGATCTTCGTAGATGACCACAATTAGAAGCTGCATGCGAAATTTCAGCCTTCTAACTCAGTTTTAGGACCAAACCGGCCAGCATAAAGTTTCGTGTTACAAAACCAGGCTTTAACCTGAATTCACAATTTTAAATTAAAAAAATTTACGAGATTAGGTAGCAAAGATGAAAGGGGTAGAAAATTAGAGTTTGAGGCAAATATTAAGTTCCTTTATTGAACAATTTACTGTTCAATTTATCATAAAACTGTATTTGCCATCAGCAAAATAATTGGTAACGTGCAGTTGATACCCAAAAGTATCTGAAACTGTTAAAATATGATAATTAGATGCTTGAATATCTAAAAATTAAGAATAAGTCTATAACTTAACCCGAACTGTTTTTAATAAAATCAAGAAAAAATTTAAACTGTTTTATCAGAATCTAGCTTGGGAATCCAGGGTTGCCCAGGGTACTCAAAATTACTACCGCCATTTACCCACATTAAATAAATAAATCTAAAACGTAGCCCGAACTGTTTGATCATAAATAAAAAACAATCTAATATTAAGCCTAAACTACTTTTAATAAATAAGAAACAATCTAATATGTAGCCCGAACTAGTGTTATTGAAATAAGAAACAATCTAATATGAAGCCCGAACTAGTGTTATTAAAATAAGAAACAATCTAATATGAAGCCCGAACTAGTGTTATTAAAATAAGAAACAATCTAATAATATGAAGCCCGAACTAGTGTTATTAAAATAAGATACAATCTAATATGAAGCCCGAACTAGTGTTATTAAAATAAGAAACAATCTGATATGAAGCCCAAACTACTTTTAATAAATAAGAAACAATCTAATATGAAGCCCGAACTAGTGTTATTAAAATAAGAAACAATCTAATATGAAGCCCGAACTAGTGTTATTGAAATAAGAAACAATCTAATAATATGAAGCCCAAACTAGTGTTATTAAAATAAGATACAATCTAATATGAAGCCCGAACTAGTGATTTAAATTAGTAATTTAAAAAAACAATTCTGAAAAAGTATCCACCCAAAAGTACGATTTTGAACGTCGACTTTGCGCTCAAACTCAGGATTTACAGATCTTTAAAAGTTTCATATGTCTCAAATGAATCCTAAAGAATTTGTCCACAACACTGCATACTCAGTTCAACTACCTTACATTTATTTGATACCAATGAATTTATTTGAAACCAATGAATGGATGGTCTGCAGAAACGTTTAATATAATTATTTAATAACCCGAACTAAACCTGATACAAACATTATTGAAAAAACTAATTTTGCTGTTTAGCAATATTTACATATATATTTCTCAAAATAAATTATCGAAGCAAGCCATGACAGAATCTTTCAGTTTGTCATCATTGTTTTCTTCGCTATTTATAAAGATTTATTTTAATATTTCTCAAATGTTGTCTTTTCAATTAAAATAAAGAAAACTTTCGACGGCGCTTCTAATGCAGAAAGAGTTTTGCATTAATCTGTTTGTAGAATAATTTTTGTTACGTTTCGTCGGATTATTAAATAATCGTAAAAACTTTTACTTAAAAGTTTTACAAAGCAAAAACATTATTTTTAACGACCACATCTTTCTGAAAAATGAACGAATGCAGTTGCTCCCTCAAAAACTGTCATAAATTAATACTGGGGAATACAGAAATACTGTGGAATACAGGAATATTGGGGAATACAGGAATACTGTGAAATACAGGAATATTGTGAAATACAGAAATGTTGCGAAATACAGGAATACTGTGGAATACAGGAATACTGGGAAATACAGGAATACTGGGAAATACAGGAATATTGGGAAAAACAGGCATACTGGGGATACAGGAATACTGGGGAATACAGGAATACTGTGAAATACAAGAATACCGTGAAATACAGGAATACTCTTAAATACAGGAATACTGTGAAATACAGGAATATTGGGGAATACAGGAATACTGTGGAATACAGGAATACTGGGGAATACAGGAATACTGTGAAATACAGGAATATTGTGAAATACAGGAATACTGTGAAAT